TGTTTCTGCCAAAAAGAAGACGAAAATGAACAGAGCAATAAAAAATGCAGACCCCTTGGCATTCAAGTGGTAAATATTTGTCTAGCGGCTTGCATGCTGACAGTTTTATAGCATTTCAAAAAATCGCAAAAAAAAAGGATCATTATCTGGATAGTGGGAAAAAGTTGTCCAAAGCCTGAACCACGACCTGGGCCAATTACAAGACAAGCGGCCGTAAATTACGCACTCGAAAAAACATTTGCAGACTGCACTTGACCTCTTTGATTGTGGTCGGCTGGTCTCGACATTTGTAATAAGCGTCTGGGGGCAGACAAAACATGGAAACAACTTTTAATTGCATGCCAGATAGTACAGTAAGCCCTTGTGATAAGGGAGGGGGAGGAGGAGGTGCAGACGAGGCTAGACACACACAAAATTGAAATTTTTAAGCCGAAAGTTATGCGGCAAAAAGTTTTTGTTACTTTGCATATAGCTGAGTATAGCCCACACATGTGGGCGTTGTTTGTCGGTGTCGAGTTGAGCTGATTTGATGGCCAGCCATCTGCATTAATGACTGGCCATGAAGAGTCTGCTTCGCCATCTCACCGCTGTGCCAAATTAAATGCATAATTACTTGGTAATTGGATTTGTGGTCGGCTCAACTGGCTGTGCAAAATTTTCTAATTAAAATGTTTAGTGGCAGCCAGTTGCCGCCTCACGATCGTCCCCTCATTCGTTCCAATATTCGAGTCTACGAAGAGGTCCTCGATTGCCACTTGATGGCGCCAAAGCCTCAGGCACGTTCTCCACTTGGGGCTCCCCGCCAAGTAGCTCAAACCCCGCCCGCTGTGAGGGGAACGAACTTCAGTTACCTGGAGTATAAGAGTATTTTCGCTGTGCCATGATGTTTGACAATACTCTATGGTTAAACTTTAAAAACAAAATGAATTGGTCAAGAAATCCATTTTATGTTTAAAATATAATGGAAAATAAAAATTAAATAGCAATTGTCTTATTTTATAAAAGGATAAGGGATTTAAGGACACTGTTCAAGAAAAAATATTAAATATTAGTGATCTTTGACTGGTTTGATCTTTTACTTTTCATTTTGGTTATTTTCCAAGTTTAAGTGTTAAATAATATAATATAATAAAAATAAGAAATCCAATCCCATCGTCGAATTGCCAGTTCGACCTGATTTTAGGGTATCCTTTCCCTTACAATATTGCCTTATTTTCAGGTATTTCTCTTATCTCGGGAAGCAGTGGCCTTGTTCCGCTCCCTGGGAGTTTTGGAGGCACAGCCGCTCTAAATAAGTAATAAACACCTTGACTCGGCCTCCTCCTGCACGTTTCTGGGTAATAAATTTATATTTTCCTGTTGTTCCGGCTTGTAGTGGCTGCGGGTGGTAGTAAGTAGAAAGAGGGACCTGGTACAACGGACTGGCAAGATGGAAGCAATCACAGTCGGGAGCATAGTTTGGCGGCTTTTAAAATTTTCATAAGAAGCGCCGGCGTCGCATTCGTAATACAACGAAATTTATTGCATACACTCAGGCGGCATTGCCTGCTTACTTATTCATATGAAATTGCCTGATTACCGTTGGCCAAATCGTTTTGCCCAGCACCATCGTGTGCACAGTGCTCTATGGCACTGTATTGGTACGTGTTTGAATTATATGCCGGTCATGCTGGGAATCGGGATTTGGGTTCGGAATTGGGGGGACAAATATTACCCCTCAGCCGTAATGCGCCTGTTTGTATGGCAATTGCTGCTCTGGGCCGAATTTTTTATGAACTGTCCGGGTCATGACTTTTATGATTTGTAAGTCCATGGGTCCAGGGAGCTTTCGGTAAGTACGCACTCACATGTGTGTATTTTCAGTCCCAGAACTCATTCAATTAAGCGAAAATGATGAAATGACAATGCGGCAAATGGAGGGTACGATTATATATGGGTGTGGTAAATCTAAAAGTAGGCAGATGAAATGGATTGGAAGAATGAGGTTGGCACTTGTAAAAATAAATACATTTTCAAATGTAGATTATAAAATAACCACATACATTATATTTTAAACTTAACCTTAACCGTAACTGAACCTTAACTAAACCATAACTTCTTAAATATTTAAATAGGGCCCTTTTTGTTTTCCAATGAATTTTCCACTATTTTTCCTAACAGCAAATCATGAACCAAATGTGTTTTCCTTGTCTCCCACAAACACTTGAGGCTGTATCAATATTTTGGTTCGAATGAAAATCTCCACTCGGCTTAAAAAAGCGAAAACACACAAAGTGCGAAAGCCTTGAGGACTAGCACGTGCTCAAAATCTCAGCAGGGAAAGCACACACACTCAACTTGCTATAAACACCTTTGCCGAGCACTAAAATATAACTTAATCCCAACGAAATTGATATGAAATTTTACAGACACACGGGGCGTATGAGTAACAAACAAACACACACACACACAGTGGCACGTCAAGAAAGTTCTCTTCTGCCGGATAGAAAATTTAAATTCCACTCATGAGGTGTGAAAATGTTTGTTGTGCTTCGGCTTGTAAAAGTTTTTCTGGTCGCCCTTTCATGTTGACAGTTTTTCCCCGTTTTCCATTTCTGTTTTCCCCAATTTTGCTAATTTGTTGACGCTTCTTGCTGCTGTATCAACTTTGATGTTTGCTTTGATAATTTTAGATTGAAAAAGTTTCGTCACATTTCTCAGGAAGATTTAAAAAAAAAGGGAGAGGACTTTTGATGAAAATGAAAGGACAAATGATCAAGGATTGGACTTGGATTCTATTTAAGTCACTTTTAAAGGGGAGAACTTAGACTAATTACCCACATGGAAAACGGAATCAACCTTGTTCCACATTTTCCGCTTACTGCCGCTTTCTTTGTATCTTGTGAGGACAAAAACGAAAAGGAAGCACATCTCTTGAGGCTGCCAAGCCACGCCTCTTAGCATACTTTACAATTACTTTTAGCCACCAGCCCCCTTCGTTTTCCATGTAATTTTATCTCACTCAATGTCTCGCCTCCTGGCTGCTTAATTTTTACACTTGCCGCCTCCAAATGACATCCCCTGAGGTTTTCATGAGGGAAAGACAATGCCAAGAAAAGAAAAGTGGCACAAACTTTCCTCTTGCCCTGCCTCGAGGGTTGCTTTTCCCGCCACTGCCACGTGAAAGGCATAAAAATGGCCAAACAGAATTTAATAAAAACCCATTTCCATTTATTAAACTCTCGCGTTCATCGTCGCCTCTAATTTAGTTTGGCCGCAAAACTTTTGCTGGCTCTTCCGACAGCCGTGGCAAATGTTTATCTTGCACATTTCATAAAGCAAACCCCAAGAAATGCAAATATCTGTAGTTGGTCTGGCGCAAACCCCAAGGAAGTCTAAGGCGTCTTAACCGCAACTAAACAAGTAATTTTGCGCACATTTCACTTGTCATATGACACGTAGTTACCCGCCAGCGCCCTGCTACTGCTCCTTTCTATTTCTTTCGTTTTTGGTTGTTTTTGCTCTGTCTGGGAGCGATTTTCCTACTTAGCAGCTAGGAAAAGTTGCAAGCTCGTTGCATTTCCCAAGCCCCCGACGGCAGCTCCTCATAACGCGTGTTAAGTGCTTCCCCAACGCAGATACAAGATACAAGATACTAGATACAGGCTGCAGGTTCAACTGTTTCGTCCCTTTTGCTTGTTAGTTTCCGCTTTCGCAAAAAGGTGCGCCCTGCAGCTTGTTTTTCTCGCATTCGACTCGTTATCCCCCCCCCTTTTTTTTGGAAACACTTAAAGCATTTCGGATAATATTAAGATATTTTGCAGGGGAAGTAAAAGAAATTTTCCGACATTGTCTTTATGCCTTTTATAGTTGCCTCTGTTAATGGCCACGTTCAGCCAATTAAAATTTTAATTGGCCGACGTAAAAGCTAACTGCCAAATACGTTGCGCCATCGAGAGAAAAATCCCCCTTTAAGCCCTCTGAACTTTTCGCAGTGCAGTTTTGAAGCCCCCGACTAACTAAGTTTCATATTAAGACAGCTGCCAGACTGAAAAACGAGGGGAGAGCCGGTCACATGCATCATAAAGCAAATCAAGCGTAAGTAACACCTTGATATAAAGCCAAAGTGACGGCAAAACTGGGGGATTAACAGGGCGTATACGCAATTTATCTCTCTCAACCAAGTTGGAATGTAATTAAGGTTCGACTTTCTTTCTCTTCTTTAATAACTTGTTTGATTGATAGCATATTTTCTCTCAGCTTTGTCCACACAAACATATATTTCCAATTGCAACTCAATTAAGATTTTCTATCTTGGAAATAAAAGAAATTCCTTTGCTTCGATCGCAACTTAATGACAAATGATTCAGTTCCCTGGCTGTTTATATGGCCATAAATATTAAGGGGGAAAACCTCCAGTGTGGGTTCAAAGTTCAAAGAAGTCGAGGGTCTGCCACTTGTAATTGGCACACAGATTGGGAGTCTGGAACATGTGTAGTGGGCTTTGTCGACCCGCCCTGGGTCCTAATGAAAAAGGTTGCTCTTTGAACGCCTTTTGTTTGCTTGAGGTTTTTCGGTATTTCTGTGGGTTCCTTCAGCTGGGCAACAGACAAATTGCTGCCGATTAAGATTTTTTATCGGACTATTTGAGGGTCTGCCATGAAAAATGAAGATGTTGCGGCTGCTTCTCTGGTTAAATGAAGTTAAGTAGTCGAAGGAGCCATTTATAAAGAAGGCCTCTTGAAGTTAATCCAACGAAGGACGACTTTAAGTCTTACAGAATTTAATACAATCTTCTTTAAGGACACTTGAAATCCGATTGTATCCTTTACACCTCTAATAACAGCCTTTAGCGGGCTAATTAACACATTTGCCCTCCCACAATCACGACGAAAACCCATTAATTAAATCCTAATTATGATGACATCACGACAAGTCACCCCTAAGCACTGGGATAGCTATAAAACAAAGCCGTTGTTGGCTGTGTAATTCACACCTCTGTGGATATTGTCACCGGCAGTATGAAATTGAAATCGATGGATACTGTGGATATGCCCATTTTCGGTAGCACTCTGAAGCTCATGAAGTTCTGGTCATATCTCTTCGTTCACAACTGGCGTCGATATGTCGCTATGGCTCCGTACATGATAATCAACTGTACTCAGTATGTGGATATATATCTGAGCACCGAGTCCCTGGATTTCATCATCCGAAATGCGTATTTGGCTGTTCTGTTCACCAACACAGTGGTTAGAGGTGTTTTGCTGTGTATTCAACGATTTAGCTATGAAAGATTCATTGAAATGGTGAAGAACTGTTATATAGAATTGTTGGTAAGTACTGTAAAATATAATAAAGATTACAAAGAATATATTACAAAAATATTTAGGAATCAGATGATCCCACTATTAATCTGTTGGTGGAGAAGACCACACGCCTTTCAATTTTTATAGGAAGGGTTAATTTGCTTATGGGCTGTTGCACTTGCATTGGCTTTGTTACCTATCCAATTTTCGGTTCAGAAAGAGGTGAGAAGATGTATTTTCTTGGATGATTTAATCTCATTTTCTTTTAAGAACAGTTTTACCATATGGCATGTACTTGCCTGCTATCGATGAGTACAAGTACGTGTCACCCTACTATGAAATTTTCTTTGTTATCCAGGCCATTATGGCCCCCATGGGATGTTGCATGTACATTCCATACACCAATATGGTAGTTACCTTTACCCTTTTTGCTATACTCATGTGTCAAGTTCTGCAACATAAGTTGAGGAGTCTAGAAAAGCTGCAAGTTGATCAAGTTCATGGCGAAATTATATGGTGCATAAAATATCAATTAAAATTGACGGGGTGAGTCCTTAAATATTTATTTATTTTTCTCCAAACATTTTTAAATATTCAGATTAGTGGACTCTATGAATGCTTTGAATACTCATCTTCATTTGGTAGAGTTCCTCTGCTTTGGGGCCATGCTTTGTGTTCTTCTTTTCTCGCTGATAATTGTGAGTTGTGGGATTTAATTCATACTTTTTATTATTGAATTTCCCTTTCCCAAAACAGGCCCAAACCATTGCCCAAACCGTCATAGTTATTGCTTACATGGTAATGATATTCGCCAACAGTGTGGTTCTCTACTACGTAGCCAACGAACTATACTTTCAAGTAAGAGTTTTCCATTTTATTTTGAAATGACCTGTGAACTTCACTTCCCCCCAGAGCTTCGATATTGCCATCGCTGCCTATGAGAGCAATTGGATGGACTTTGATGTGGACACACAAAAGACTTTGAAGTTTCTGATAATGCGTTCACAAAAGCCCTTGGCGGTGAAGTCTTATGGACAGTTACTCGTTGATGACTAGTCGTTAACCATTATTTCCTCTCCAGATTCTGGTGGGTGGCACCTATCCCATGAACCTGAAGATGCTGCAGTCCCTGCTGAACGCCATTTACTCGTTCTTCACCCTGCTGCGTCGCGTTTACGGCTAAGGAAAACCCGCTTACAAGGTTAACTCCACATCCTTTGGCAGCCTTAAAGGGACGACGAGCAATTGCCACAATTGATTGCATTTAAGCAGCAAACGTCCTCCAACTAAGGATATTGTGTGCAGTGGGGGGAAAAGGGAGGTGCGGTGCAATTGGATTGTTGCAAATGCATTCGAGGCAACTGCAACACGTCTCCGAAATATTCCAAAGGAGCGACCAACGAAATAAACTATAATAAAATTGCTTCTGTGGCTCTTTGTTGCCCTCTCGGCCGCATCTTGGACTTGGCAGTTGACCACCAGGGCTGTTGGCCCTTTGTTATGCCCGGCACGTGCCATTCAGATAACTTCTATTTAAGCAAATATAAATCTAAAGTGTGCTAAATTAGATTAAAATGTTCTCGTAAAATAAACGTTGTCCAGTCTGCCGCCAGCTGATACTGGGATTCCGGGTCCAAGGCGAGCAGCCACCTCTATTGTGTCCGAAATTGCTTACAAATTCCCGCTCCGAGTGCCAAGTGAGCCAAATTGTTAATTAATGCTGGAAATTGGAAACTCGGTTGTTTATCCCCAAAGAGGAGAGGTGCGAGGGGGAAGCATTTATTGCTTCATTTTCTAAAACCGAAATGGGATTCCCAAAGTAAGGCATTCCAAAGTTATCGATTCAATTTGTTAAAAAAACATTGTAGGAAAATAGCTTAGCTTAGCGTGTGCTTTTTAGAATAAGGTTATCCATTTAATTTGTAGGTATTTTAATTAGTAGAATATTATTTTTTGTACACTTTTTATATTAAACATTTTAGTATAAGCACTACAAATATCATACAAAATTAAGTAAATGTGAAAATTAATTATATTAAAAAATAGTGAACACCCTTTGTAATCATCCTCATATTCCATGTTTCACCCTTAAAATAAAAGCCCCCATACATTGCTCTCATTATCACTTCAATTTCCCTAATCAGCATTAGCATTCTCTTCAGCCTCAAGACTTTGTGCCCCTGCCGAACCAACCCATCATCAACATCTGATTTCAACGCAGACTCGTCTTCGAATTGACTTTAATTTAGGAATTTTTTATACGCCCCTCACAGATCCCCGCTAACAGCCAACTGAAGTCAGGAAGCAGAAGTCGGCGGCAGACCTACAAATGGAATCACTTGACGAGCCTTCAGGCATTGTCTGCGTCTGAGTCTGAGTCGGTTGGTTTAATGGAATTTACCTCCTTCCCGGTCTCCCGGAATCATGACTGGCGCGTTTTATTTTACTTTTTGGCGTTGAGACTGAGGAAGAGGCCGGAAAAAATGCTGATGCGACAATTATAGTTATTGTCTGGCTGGTCTCGGGGGGATGGAGAAGAAGATCCGCCAAGACTTCCCCTAGTTCTTCCACCCAGGAGTACGTGAGCCAAACGAACACCTAAGGACCTCCCCATCCCCTTCTGTATGCCGATGGCAGCTGGCTCATCGTGAATTTCAGATGGTACTGTGCCTGTTTTATTGCTAATGTAAACATGTTGTTGCTCCGTCAATGTCTTTGACGCCAAATTGACACATTTCTAGGGCGGATATTCCCGGCATCCCGCATCCCAAATAGTGTGCTAAAATGTTGTACGTGCGAGCATGGAGCTTATCAACACTAACAGCAAAAAGCGAAGGACCAACAGTGATGACAGCTATGGATTACAAAAGGAAACAAACGGAATAGCTGAGAATAATTTCAAGTTAAAAGCTAGAAATCAAAATCTCTATAGGTTTAAGAACTCTTAAAAAGGTGTCTAAAAGTAGGCTGCAAAATCTTTAAATTAAAATATTCCGTAGCATACTTTTAGACACCTTAAGTAGTTTCAGATCTCAAAAAATTGCAGTGCCTCTGTATATCTATTGTGTTCTTGTTTTCTGCTAAAAATAGCCAACTCTGCATCTCTATAGGGCAATCTTTAATTTCCAGGCAGGTGGCAGTTGAAACAGCCCTCCAGGCATTCGAAATTTATCAGGGCTCAAATCAATTTACGTCAATTCTCGCCCCGGGCCAAGTTATGTGAGAAGATTGCTTGAGTGGAAATCATGACTGCTGCCAGTGCCTAATGAGGCGACTCAGATATAACCCTTCTCTCCATCGAATTCTGCACACCCCCGTGAATTCGTGAATTTTCTTTCATAGTTTTCGCCCCCTCGAATTCAAAGCTTGTTTTATGCGCATCATCCAGAAATTGCCTACGTGTGGACATTTTTAAAACATTTCTCGTGTTCGCCTGCGCTTATTTTGTTGACATTTGACTTTTGACCGGGACAAAAGGGACAGTCAACGAGAGTCGTTGATCCTGCTCCTCTGGCTGGGAAATTTAGGTCAAGCGGTCAAGTGTTTTATGTTTTTTTGTTCTTTCTGTAAGGGTGGTAAATAAAAACCTTTCAAGGGTTTTATGATGTTTGCCTGCAGTGACGAAAAGTTTAATGGGAGGGCCGGATCATGGGACTTCGGAAAATACTTGGGTTAAGTGGGAAGTTGTGCTACCAAAAACTTTATTTTAAAGTGCCAGAAATATTTTTGTATACCAAGACTTAAGACTTTTTCTAAAAGAATTTTATAAAATACTAAGATTCCACTTTCAGCTAAGTATTCGACATAAAATATTAATAAAAATGCCAAACGAAGCTCAGGATAGCTCTCGGATATCTTTACCTTTACACTTTATATGTCAATCCTTGTCAGGAATCGCTTTCTCCCTCCATTAGTTGCCTTGACCCGTCTCCAAATGATATCTATGCCAGTGAATTGTCTGATGACTGAAGTTTTCCATTAGTGCATGCTCTGAATAATTAACCGCAATTTCAGTTGCAGCGCAAGGGTAATTGAAACTAAAAGCGCAACCTGCAATATATGTGGTACCTCTTGCATAATTGAGGCGAAGTGGCTTTTGTGTGTGGCCAAATCAAATTTAATTAGCTGACTAAACAGCTGGACGTCGGTTACGTGGTGGCGTTTGCCTTCTGTGTATTTGCCTGGCTAATGAAATTAATTTGACCATTTAAACTGCAGGCAGTTATGCGATTGGGTTCGAAGACCGAGGACCGAAACAAACTGCCAATCAGAATCAAAGTTGCAAATTCTCCGATAAAACGCGCCTAATTCAGGCCAAGAGCACAGATGGCTCTTTGCCCGTTTGCCTGTCTGGCAAATTGCTATTTACGGTCCGGACAGGTCGGCAGGATCTGCCGAATGCCATCAAAATTGCTGCACAAATCTGATTAAGATTTCAGTTTGGTAAGCGATTTATGAATGCCAAAAGAGAGTGCGTGACCAGAGCCATGGCTGGAATGCCTCCTCTTTGGCCAGGATTATGGGGGAAGACCCCCCGTTTAATGCTTCCGTGTTTGACCAGTGTCGTTTTGGCTGCAGGCCAATTGCAGTCGGAAAGCCTTTCGCATTCTGGCAGAAACAAAGTGGGAGTCTCATGGTTTCAGGATTGTGTCACTTAAAATTGTAAGAATAAAAGCCGGTTGCGATGGGAATGCAGCCCGGTCCTGTAAACGAAGTTAGAAAGCTTTCAGGTTGTGTTAATGGTTGTCTGATGTGTGAAATTCTTCTGTGATTACACATTTTAATCGGATTTTCTGTGGGCTCTTTGTTGTTGTCAAGGATTTAATTTAGGCTGAACGAGGACGGAAGCTAACTTCGGCAAGCCGAAGTTTTAATACCCTTGCAGATTTTACGAATTAAAACTTGACTAGACTAGCAACATGAATTAATAAACAACAAATTATTTTATAATTGAAAAAATAAAATTTTAAAATTTTTCACCCTATTGTTCTTATGGGAGCTATAGGATATAGACGCCCGATCGGCACGCGCGTTTACCCTAATGAAGGTACGCACAAAAAAATACGATTTGGAAAGTTTCATGGGAATAGCTAATATTTTGCGCGAAATATCCTGAAAAACGTCACATTTTGACCGATTTCACCCTATTGTTCCTATGGGAGCTATAAGATATAGACGTCCGATCGGCACGCGCTTTTACCCTGATCAAGGTACGCACAAAAAATACGATTTGGAAAGATTCATGCCAATAGCTCTTACACTGAGCGAAATATCTTCATTTTGTGAAAGCTATATCCGATTGTTCCTATGGGAGCTATAGGATATAGACGTCCGATCGGGTCGGCTTTCAAACTTGATCTGCGTACACATGTTTTAGGACGACTGTGAAAGTTTCAAGGCGCTAGCTTTTAAACTGAGCTCGCAAACGGTATTGAAACAGACGGACAGACGGACAGACGGACATGGCTATATCGACTCCCCTATTGATCCTGATCAAGAATATATATACTTTATGGGGTCGGAAACGTCTCCTTCACTGCGTTACAAACTTCTGACCAAAATTATAATACCCTCTGCAAGGGTATAAAAAAGACAGACCAATTTAAATTTAAAATGTATAAAATTAAATTTATGATCAATTTATATTGCGTTTTTATTTATAAAAAGCTTAAAATTAAATGAATTCGATGGACGCAAATAATTTATTTTACTGGTATTGTAAAGTGGCTTTGCGGTATTCTTAACTGAATCAACCAATGCAAGCCAATTTCTCAGCATTAACCGAATCTTATTGCCAATCATGCCCCAAGGAAAACTTCTTTGTCGAAGAATCTGCTCTCACTTAGCTTTTCCCCTGCTCTTCTTTTCTTGCATTTTCCAATTTTATTGTAGTTCCTTTCGATTACTTTGAGTTATTCCAATTTGATTACAGTGCGGTCACTTTCTGTACTCCTTACTTATTTTTTTTCCACATTTTTAAAAACACGCCATTTATTTATTATGCGTTTCTTTTTACCGACGCTTCGCTTTTTGTATCAAAGTGTTAGTTGTTTTTTTTTTTGGAGCTGCTTGTCTGGCGGCTTTGACACTTTGTTGTGGGCTGTCGTTTTGCATTTTGCCTCTGTCCTTTTCCATTCCCTCTTTTTTTTTGAGTCTACTCCATTAGGGCCTGTTTAGTCTCAG